GGTCTTATCATGTCTTAGACAACTAATATAATCAGTTTTAGTTATATCAATAATTACATTAAAGATGTCCTCTTGTCTTATCATGCCTAAGATAACTAATGTAGTTAGTTTTATCTACAATTACATTAAAGATATCTTCTCGTCTTATGATGGCTACAACAACTAATATAGTAAGTTCTATCAACAATAACATTTAAGATATCAGCTGGTCTCATCATGCATATGACAACTGATGTAGTTATAGTTTTAGTTCTATCATTAATTAGGTTTAATATGTTTGCTGGTCTAATCATGCCTAAAACATGTATGGTAGTTAGTTCTATCAACAATTATCCTTGCAATGTATGCCTATGATAATGTAGCTACTTCTATTAATAATTTGTATGATTTACACTGATCTTACTTTGCCTGTTATGCTTCTTTTTCTGATCTTCCTCAATTTTTCTGTCTTTCTCCTCTGCATCAAAGTCATAATATTTGTCTTTATGAGGTCTGGAAACAAAAAGCAGAATAAATACTCTCTTAAAACAGTCGATAAAATACATTTTTTGTGAAATTTCTACACCAACAATTTTGAAACCATTGAATAATTTATTTTTTCAAAATTACATAAAATACAAATTGATACTTGTACACTAAAATTTACATGTCAGTCCTGGTGTCCCAAGCTGATCCATATTCCTTTGTTTTCCAATACCATTAAGTACAAAGGATATATCTGCCATGGAAATTCTAAATGCTTGACTGAACACATCTTTATGATCTCAGTATAATATGAATATTTCGCATCAAAAAGGATGGTTACATACTCTTCTCAAAAGTCATAAATTTTCAATGACATCACACTGCCTGTGAGATACCAAACAATGTAAAAATGTAATTCTGATATAACAGTCCATCACAATTTTATATTGACTGTAGTTGTCATATAACTTGCTAATTTGCATATTCAAGGTTATTTTAATATAATGTGCTCAATCCTCTGCATATTAGAAATGTTTTTTTTGTTTGTTTTTTTAAGTAAGTGAATAACCCACAAATGAGTTTTATCTGGCCTTTTTTGTTGTTGTTGTTATCATTTAATGTCTTAGTTTCATAATTATAGTTTTGAGTAAAGTTTTTTCTGGCATTCATCTTTGACCATTCAGAAAGATACCTGCAACAGTTCATACCCCAGCCATGGTAAGTAAAGTGTGGTGTCTTGTAAAAACATGAAATGTCATTAACACAAAGATACCTGCAACAGTTCGTACACCAGCCATGGTAAGTAAAGTGTGGTGTCTTGTAAAACATGAAATGTCATTAACACAAAGATCAGTGGCTAAAGCCATCCATATGCCCTAGGCAACATAATCAAGAATAATTAATCTCCATCTGGAAATGTGACCAACAATGAAGGGGTTTACATATGGCTTCCAATCATACCTTCCATTAACCCTCTCATTGTGAGTAGGTAAAAGTGTGCATGTCACATTTAATTTAATTAAACTACTTTATGATCAATGTATACAAATAAACTTGGCATCAAAACAGTCAATAAATCATATTTAGATATTATATAAGTTTTAATTTTATATCAAATATTTAAACAAATCCTCAATTTCCCCCTTGTATGAGAATCCTAACTTTTTTCTCTAGGTCTCCTCTTCTCTAATATATTTACCCCCTCCCCTCTTAAACATAGAGTTTAATATAAATTACTCATTATAATATAGATATCACTAAGGTAAAGTCTAATTCCTACAGCTTTCAATCTTCTTTGTTTAGGAAGGCAAACAAGAAAATTAGACTAACTTGCCATGCCCACCTTTCACATCCTCTCTTTCATCAATTGCTAATAATTCTCTTTAATGGTTTATATAATTTATAATCAATAGAAAAGGAAAGTTTTAATGTATTGAATGATGCATAATGCTACAAATGTTCTCAGTAGAGATTTCCGACTATTACTTCTTCAATTTGAAAGTTTATCTCACGGTGTTCAGATCAAGTAGCTATGGGAATTATTGTAAGCTCCTCTTGCCTTGGTTAAGAAGCCAGTTAAATTATAATAGTTATAGGGCATTACTTGCTTTGTGCATATTATTATTCTGTGGTCTTAGTTGCATTACTTAAATAAATAAAAATTACTTAGTGTACTAGTTCCATCATCATGAGAAAAATAGGCTTAAATTTCATCAGCAACTGAAACAAAAAAAACAAAAAGTCAAATGTAAGTACTATATTTCTTGTTTTTCATGTATATTTTTAATTATTGCTATAAAAGTAACGAAAAGGTAAAAATAAAAAACTTAAGTTAGGTAATGTTAGATTACGTAAGATAATGAAAAATAATATTAATAAAAATTCTCCATGATGTGTGCTCACAAGTAGTTTGTACATTAATGTGATTCAATTTGGTAACATGAGCTACACATTTGCCAGGTATATGGTGGGTTTGTTAGTTAGACACAGTTCAAATGTCAATAAAACAATAAAATTAAGCATACAGAGATGTATACTGTTATGAGCCTTAAGCTATTTAGGATGAAAAATTGTAGTTTTCTGTTACAACCTGCAGTCATTTTAAAAATAAAAAAAAGAGTAATTTAGATTTTTTTTTGGTGGTTACAAGGTCAGTCAAATCACCTGAATCAGCATAGAGTTTATGTAGAGAAAATAACACTTTAAATATAAAATTTATTACACCCCCCCAAAAAAAAACATTTGATATTTAATTAGGAGGTTTTAGAAGTTACACAAACAAAACTTGTAAATCACTTTGCACTCGGAGCAGTCAACACTCTGACCCTACATATTCACGAAAAAATATTTAGTAAAAATACTTAATTAAAAAAGATTTTTTTTTTAAATATTTACTGAAAGCTTACCATACACATGCTATATTGAAAGTTATAATATGAATACTCTCACGATTACAAGTTTAGTGGAATCCCCAATGAAAAGAGTTAAACTCTTGCATATCTCAAACAGATAGAGAATACTTTATTCCATACCAGCCAAGTCACTGAATACAGTGGCTGTGGATGTCTGTGTGATCAATGTTGAAACAGGTCTTGGGAAATTATCATACTCATATTCTAGATGGATTATGGAAAGCTCAAATGGACAAGTGGTGTGCTTCAGATGTGACAGCCTTACAATGGAGCATTCTGCATTGGAAAGTATGCTACAAGGCTATTGTTGAAATATACTATTGTCAGAGAGAGAGAGAAAGACTGAGTGTAATAACATAGACTGTAATGATGTGATAAGGCTACAAAGTCGTTTTAATATAATGTACTTTAACCTCTGTATTATTGTGTTTCATCAAAAATTCCTCTTACATTTGAGATGCTACAGTGAAAACAAACTTGTTAAAAAGAGGTACCATATATATGTAGGACAAGAGTTCACTTACCTCCACTCATTGTTTTTATCCATCAAATCAGAAGATCGACAAGTCAGGTCTATGGTAAACCTTTCAATGTCAATCCTTGTGACACGACAGTTGACAATCATGTTGATCTATACAAAGAATTCAGAGCATTCTGTTATTTTCTTTCAAATCTCATGTTAAATAGTTTTCTTTTTCTAAATCTCTAAACAGTGCTGCTGAAACTATTAGGATCTGTAATTAATATACCAAACTGATGAAAGGCTTGCCTTTACTCTATCCTCTGGGTTTGTAACCTGTTTATCACTAATCATCTTTGTTGGAATAAATCCTGATACTCCATTATCTAGACGGCACCTGACCCCCATGGCCTGACCAGGACAACTTCCTGCATCAAAATGGTTCCATACCTGAAAAAGATTTAATTCTTTTTAATGTCACTGTTTCAATATTTGTATGATGATAAATAAAATTTATTTCAAAAGGATAGAAAATAGTAATCCATGGACTGTCTTTAAAACTCACCTCACTTAATTCAGGAAAATCATCTTTTCTACAGAAAGGGCACTGCCAAAGTCCGGATTCGTCATTACGAATGGGGTTGGCTTGATCAAGCTGTTCTCCACGAGGTTTTTTCCTAGCAATTCCTTGTACTTGAGCTAACACCAGTTTACCTAGACAAACAAAACAGGTTTACAAAAAGTTTGAACAAAGTATTAAGAAACATAAAACCTGCTCACATAATGTTCAAACTTACATTTTCAAGCCTATTTTTATGCTTGACTTCAGGCGAAACTAAATACCACATAGAAGAATGTCATTTCTAAAAAGTAACATGTGAAAACACTTGTTCATTGTGTTCTGTCAAGGTACCACAACAATGTAAAACTTAAAATGTGAAAACACTTGTACATTGTGTTTTGTCAAGGTACCACAACAGTGTAAAATTTAAAATGTGAAAACACATGTAGAACTTGTTTTGTCAAGGTACTGCAACAATGAAAAATTTTAAATGTGAAAACACATGTAGAACTTGTTCTGTCAAGGTACTGCAACAATGAAAAATTTTAAATGTGAAAACACATGTAGAACTTTTTCTGTCAAAGTACCACAACAATGAAAATTTTAAGACATGTAACATGTGAAAATATGTTACATATGTAAATTAAACTATTAACACTTTCACTACAGGTTCCCCTTTTCTGAACATGTCGTAACATTTTTACAGAATTATGTTCAAAATTTAATTAAACTACTTCATTATTAATGTATACGAATAAACTTGGCATCAAAATGTAGTAAATAAATCAAATTTTAATATCATTTAAGTTTTAATTTTATAATGAAATATGTTAAAAAATCTTTAATCTCACCCTAATACAAGAATTGTGACATTTTCTCTTTAGGTATCCCTTCTCTAATTGTCCGAGAAGTAGGAAATATAACATAAATTACTCAGGCAAAGCAAAATTTTTTATAGACTTCAATATTATTTATTTATGGAGCCATAAATTAGAAAATCAGACACCCCTTGCCATGCCCACCTGTCATGTCCTCTCTCATAAACTGCCAATAGCTCTCTCTGACATTTAATAGTATATTATTTATAACCAATAGAAAGCCAAAGTTTTAACCTATCAAATGATATATTATATTGTTTTCTGTACAGAGAATTGTCTATTTCACTTCCAGTTCAAACTTTATTCCCACAGGAAACATTTCTTTGACAAACTTAGTTGAAGTTTTAATGGTTCTTATCGCATAGTTAAAAAGCCAAAAAATTATGATTGTTATATAATATTGTCTACTTTTTACATTTTATGATTCTGTGTTTTTAGGTGGATTAGTTAATTAAATAAAAGAAAGGCTTAACTTGCACTTACAGTCGACAGGGTATTATTTATTTATTATCATAATAGTAACTAAAATGTAAAAGTCAGAAACTTATTAGATTCAATAAGGTCAGATTAGGTAAGATAATGAAAAAAAGAAAGAAATACAAGTTCTTCACAATGTATTCTGATGAGCAGCTTGTGCAATATGTAGTTCGATACAGCAATGTGTACTGTACAATCTCCAAATGGTTTACAACGTGTGGCGGGATTATCAGTTTGACATGGTTCTGCATCCCTTTCTGTTATAAATAAACAGTGTTGTTCATCTTAAGTATTGTCATCCTTTTTATTTTCAAACTTCGTTTTCCTCGAACACTTCGAATGCTAATGTTTTAAAAATTAAGCAAATGAAATTTGACAATTTTTAGATGAAGAAAAGTATTTTTAACCTTAACATGAAAATCACTTTGCATTCGGAGAAGTCAACACTTTAAATGAGTTTGACTCGATATATTCATTGAGGAATTTTGAGTAAAAATTACTAAGTTAAAAAATCTGATTTTCTGTGTGCAAAAGACAAAGTATGTTTACTGATAGTCTTCAAAATTTCACGAAGATAGGCCTACATTATCAAAAGTGATAGTACGACAAATCTTACGGTTATGTATTAGGTGCAATGTATTTAACCCGTAAGGAAAGAGTTAACTGATACACGGTCCATGAATTTATTAAACTAACTTGTGTAACAATGCAAGATTAAGATAAATAAATAATAAAAAGTAGTGAAAAGTGGTTTCTTTCAAGCTACCACAACAATGCAAGTTAAACTCTTAAGTGAGACATGGTCCATGAACTTAACAATATTACACCATCTTGTGTAATAGAGCTGGGCAATTAGTGGTACTTGCTAACTGATTAATCAAAAGCCCTATTAACAGATTAACCCTTTCTGGCCGGGCATCATTTACTGCACGTCACGAGGTTTTAGTGACTTACATTTTCAAAATTGCATTAAAATACTTTTTGGTTATGTTATACCAACTAGTATAGCATGAAATCATAGCTAATAATCCATATTTTAAGTTTTAAGTTCATAATTTTATAAGACAATATTAAAAAAATCCATAATTTCCCCTAGTGTGAGAAATGATATTTTTTCTAGGCATCTCCTCTACTTTATTTTATTCACCACCCCTCGAATAAGTAAGAAATTAAACAAAAATTGCTCAGACAAACCATAATTTTTAGAGCCTTCAATTTTGATTGGTTATAGAGCTATCAAATAGAAAATCAGATCCCCCTTGCAACACCTACCTGTCACATCCTTTCTTTCAGGATTTGTTAGTAGCTCTCTCTTACATTTAATTCTATATTATCTGTAAGCAATAGAAAGCCAAGGTTTTCATCTATCAAATGATGTGTTATATTGCATTGTTTTCTGAATGAAGTTGTAACGGCTCTTGTCGCATAGTTAGTAAGCCAGAAAAATTGTGATAGTTAGGGGAAATTGTCTGCTTTTTGCATGTTATTATTATATGTTCTTTGGTTCATTATGTAATTATATAAAAATTATTTGTGCATTATTACCATTAGTATAAAAAGTAGAGTTAAGTGTCATCGACAGTCAACAGCACAAAAAAAAAGTAAGTAATTTACTTCTTGTTTATTCTTTATTTATCATAATAAAATTAAATAAGTTGTAAAAATAGGGATCTCCTTGATTAGTTACGGTTAGATTAGGTAAAATAAATAATAATAATATAATCAAAATGTTTCTCGAAGCATGCATGTGAGCAACTCATCAGTAATGACCACGTTCCCCAAGTAAGTTACAACTTATTACGTAGTTAGACATAGTTCAAAAGGCAATAAAACAATAAAATTTAATTATAAGTAGATGTATACTGTTGCGAATTTTAAGCTATTTAGAATAAACAAATGTAGCTTCATGTTACAATTTGGTGTCATTTCAGAACGGTAATTTAAGGTGTATTTTGATTTTTTTTTGGTGGTTACAAGGTCAGTCAAATTAACCAAACTTGTATAGTGTTAGGGTAGAGAAAATAACAGATAAAATATAAAGTTTTACCGAAAACAAACATTGAAAACATATTTAGGAGGTTTTAGAGATTACACAAATGAAATGTGAGATGATGAAAAGTATTTTTGATCTTAACATCAAAAACACTTTGCACTTGGACTAGTAAAATATATACTATATATTTAAAGACAATTCTTTTTTTTAGTTTATTAAAAATACTTCAGTAAAAAAATAAGATTTTTTGTATGTGAAAGACTCATAATGTTTACTGAAAGTGTTAAATTTTGTGAAAATATACATACTATATTAAAAGTTAGTAGTACCAAAACTATAAAGACTTTAAACGAGTACAAAGAGGTCACGTGGTTGGTCAAATTGACCGAGACCATGTTAAGATAGTTAATTTGATTAACTGTCTAGTACAATGCTTCTTTGACCCTGCACATACAAGCAAGCCTTCCCTTTGGTCAGCAGTTCAAAATTAGTGTCAGTGGCAGAAAGCCTTAGTAGTTTTGATGTAACAAAACAGGGCAAACAGGTTTGATGGCAACATTTTGATTACTTGGAAAGATGGAATAATCAAAACTTCTAATTTCGATAAGTTGCTTATTTTAGTAACACCTGATATAATCAGAATTTTGATTAATTGAATTAATTGTAATTTTGAATAATTGGTTAATTAACATTATAGTAATCAGTATAATAGTTGCTCATAGGTAATGGATAAAATTATCGAGTTCTTTTGTGTAACAATGTGAGACTAAAATGAATAAATATTTAATGTTATACAAAGAAAGCCAGAAACTAATTTACTGGTACTAAGAAAACTCTTAATTCAAATTTACTACAACTTACATTCAACATTGGAGTTTGAATAAAATTTTGATTTTGCATTTCTTTAAAAAAAATGTTAAAAACCTCCAAGTCACCTATGTAGAAAGTCTGAGGAGTCTCTTTGGTAAGCATGTTGAATGTCTCCTCTGCATTTGATGGTCGATATGGAGTTCGTAGATCTTTGTACCTATGATTCAGTTCAGCACGTATGTCATACAAAGTAATACTTTTGTTTCCTAGGCCTTGCCGTTCCAGTTCTTCAGCAAATGCATCTAGATCAAGATCCTAATCAGAAAGTAAGAACTGCCACTTACTACATTTACAGATTAGAAATTCATATATTTTTACTAATTATAATAATAAGTTAAAAATGGTAGTATTAAACTTCAAAGACATGAATAATTAAATTCAAACACAGCATAAAGAAATAATACATCTTGCTCAGAACATGCCAATTTTACAAATATTTTACCACAGTAATCATGAACTTTTAAAAATCATCTTAACTAAGTTTTTTTTGTTGTTAAGTAAAAAGCCACACAATGGGCCATCTGTGCCGTGTCCATCATGGGTATTGAAACCTGGTTTTTAGCCTTCAGACTTACTGCTGAGCCACTGCACAACTAAGTAAGAGTGACAGAGTAATAAAAAAAACGTTGAAAGCTTATTTTTCATATTTCATTTCTGTGCAAATGTATTACATTTTTGAAGTTATTTCAACAGTACAATGCTACAAATATGAAAATGTTTTAAACAATTACATATTTAACAAATTACAAAGTAAATTTACCAACAGTTCTTTAAAAATAACTCATTCTGGATACCTAAATAACAAATTAAAATATTTTTACCCTCCTAAAACTTATGTTATCTGTTCGGGATGTCTGAATTCTATAATTCTCCAATTGTTTAACCTTATATGTAAGGGAATAGCATGTCATGATCTTTACTGTATTATGTTCAAATTTTAGTTTCAATAAACAACTTTATTATTGGTGTATGTAGATTAGGGTGGTCCTTATTTTTGAAGTTTGATTTAAACACTCTCACTTCCTCAATTTGTTCCAATATATAAATAAGTAATTCATACCATGTTTTTATCCATATTGAATAGTATTTAGAGGTTATCAAGGTAGTTGAAAGTTTACCTTGTAGCTTGCATTATCTACATATTTTAAATATTCTAAACTATTCTGGAAGGTTCTAGCACATTCTGGAATATCCTAGCACATTCTGGAATACTCTAGCATATTCTGAATTATTCCAGAGTATTACAGATTATTCATGTTTAAGAACATTTATGCTTATTAAAATAAATAATTTATGCTGTTACTTTTTTCACTTATGGAATATCCTTTATGACATGATAGTAGTTACTCGAATTTCTGTGAGGGTATATAAGCATTTAACCTATTCACTGTGGCTCGGACATACATTTCCCAGTGCTCCCACCCCTCACGCCTGGAACAAATGTTTCACATTGTCGACACTGTTTACATGTTCCTCTGCTGGGCTCATCTTGACTATCATCACTAGATGGAGAGCTAGCATCCTCTTGTCTCATTGTCGCTTCATCATGACACATTTGAAGACCACTTGACTCACTTTCACTATCTTCTAAGCTATCTGAGTCAAGCCTATGGTTACTACTCACCACTCTAGCGATGCGGGCACGGTTGTCATGCATTCCGCTTGGGTATCTTGTTGGGTACTGAAGGGCGGAGTGGAAAACATTGAGAGAAACCACATATCAACATTAGGTGGGATGCCAATAGATACTTTCCAACTCATTTTACTCCCATATGTTATGCACAGTAATTTTGAATGACAATGGGAAACATTTGTCCCAGTCACAGTGAAAGGGTTAAGCAAATTCTTCTGTATCACTTCAGCTGACTCTGTATCAGCATATTACTGCAAATGTACACTGCAATAAGAAGTAAGACTAGGCTTTGGCTGTTTAATTTGGAAGAAATTGAACTTGCAATAAGCAAATTACTTTAAAATAGGTAAGTGCTGTGTGTTTTTCTACCCTCACAAAACATTAGAAGACAGTTCTTGAAAGCTCCAAGGTTGTGATCAAGGAGACTGTAGCTTTTTGGAACAAGGCTCAAATTCCAATTCTTCCTCAACATCATGCTATTATTAAACTGGAGAAAGCATTTTGAAAAGGAAAACTGAAACACAGTGAGCTAATGATGCAGAGTTTGTCAATATTCTGGATGACCTTTTTTGACATCTCCCATAGAGATGCCTTAACCCTGACCAAGATCCCAGAAGAAAAGGACTTTCTTCTTGCTTGAAAGGAAAGAGGATGTTTTGGGTGTATGAGCCAAGTTGATAAAGTTCTTCTTTTAGAGGAATAAGGGTTTAGAAAAGATATGAGGCAAGTATGGGCAGGAAACATCATGTAAAGCAGGAACAACAGAAACTGTCAGTTGTTGGGAATCACCCTACAGCAGTGATGATGAGGTTGATGGATACTGTACCAATAACAGTGATGAGGATAGAGGAGCAATTAGAGAATCATCATTTTCTAAACCTTAAAAGAGGGTTAGAAGAAATTTATCACCCTTAATTCAGCAGCAGCTGAAGCAAGTCGAGTGACAGAAAAGGAACATTTTTCTTACTATCGCAGTTCATAGCCTTAGTTATGGTATGCAGGAGCTAATCATCAATCATTCCTCATTCCAAAGATCTTGAAATCATTTTTGTAAAGAACTTGTCAAAATCTTAAAGGAACCCTTTCAGCCAACAGTATAACTTGTATTTCACTTTGATAGTAAGGTGCTTAATGAACTCACAGGGAAAGAACAAGTGGATTATCTACCAGTAATTCTGTCCAAAGAAAGAGTAAACCAGCTCCTGGATGTATTAAAGTTGATTCCTAGCACCGGATAAGCCAAAGCTTCTGCTGTGCCACATTTGCTGGAAAATTGGGGAGTAATTGATCGTGTAGAGACAGTTTGCTTTGATACAACAGCAAGCAACACTGGTCAAAGAAATGGAGCATGTATGCTGTTAGAACAAAGATTAAATAAGAATATTCTGTATTTGGCATGCTGTCATCATATCTTATACTTTCCTAACATGTGTTTTCAAAGACTGTATGGGACTTTCTTCTGGTTCAGATATTGCAATTTTCAATTGATACCAGCATTGTACATGGACCAGTCCAGTTATGAAACAACAGCTATCCATGATGAAGTAGCAGAAGCCATAGAGGAAGATATGTACAGTGTCACTGAGTTTGCTACAAGACAACAGCTAGTCAGCCAACCTAGAGACAAATATAGAGTTTCATGAACTAGTCATAACCTTTCTTGGTGACAATCCCTTCTCATGGAGTGCAATTTATAGCATCTGGAGCACTGCATCATACACAATACACATATGCTTTCAAGATCTAGATGTTCATGGGACAGTTTACGCTCACTAGCTGCGAAGAAAGATAACTCCATGACACCTGCATCACTGTTGTCCGAGTCTATCTTAGGGCATGGTTCACTGTTCTTAATGAAACTTCTGCTCCTCACAATGATTTCAACATCCTACAATGTCTTGTTAAGTATAAGAAGATGAATTATGCTCTTTCAAAATCTGTCTGTCAAAAATTTGCTGAATATCTATGGTATCTCAAAGAGGAACTCACTGATTTGACATTCTTGGATGAACCTCCAAAAGCACATCCAGCTGAATATCAGGAAATTTGAGGACATTACAATTGAAGATTTCATCACAAAGAACACAACAGACTTCTTCAGATGCCTCAAAATTCCATCTGGATTATGACCTCAAGTTATGGGAGCTCAGAGAGGACTACAGACAGGTCAACGTGGTAAATGACAAGGGGTATGTTCCTTACTGAGGAGTATAATGCCATCAAAACACAGAAAGAACAGAAACAACTCCTCCTTCAAGTTGTACAGGATCATAAAAGACACTTTCCTAACAGTAAGAAGGAAACAATAACAATGCAAAAGTAACTAATCACACCAAAATCATATACTTACATATGTATACTATTGTACAAGCAATAAAAATAATAATATACTTTAAATAAACCATTTATAATACATAATAAATATGTTTTTATATCATATAGTACATAAAATACCAGACACTGCAGTCTAAAACTTCAACCTCACTGAACAACCTCTACATTTGTTCTAAAATGGATGAAGTTTGACATTTAATGTATTTTGTAAATTGGAACAAAATTAAGGGGCAAGAGATTTAGAATTTTTAATTTAAAATTTTATTTGCAAATAAGGACCACACTAACATAGATATACATGGCATAAAAACATAGTTTAAAATTTAATATTATTTAAATCTGAACTTTTAATTTCAAAATGAAACAGTTCTCAATCTTCATTTTCTTTGTCATATGACACACCTGAACTCACCACTTCAGAATATCCTAACTTCAACAATAGACTGCTGCAGCTTTCAATCAGTTAGAAACAGAAACTATACATAATAAAGTTGCACATTAATCTTCTTGATATGTTGAGATATCAATAAATTTGTCAAACACATCACAGAAACCCATCTCTTTTTGGCTTTTGAGATTGCTAATCAATTTTATATAGCTGAAGAACATATTTATAAACAACAGAAAGAGCAGATTTTCCTCTACATGTAACTTGCTACTATTTTTTTTTTCAGTATTATCAGAGAAAGTGTTCAGTGGATAGGAATTTCTTGGTTGGTGGTCATCATAACTTGGAATTTTTTTAACCTATTTATTTCTTACATAGAGAGCCTGATAAATTACAGTAATTTTGGAAAATTATATTCTAGTGACTGATAAATTTTTTGTTCTAAAATGCATACTACAAAACTACATGAACTATTTTTTTGGACATCCCATTTGTGAGACTCAAAATGCATACTACAAAACTACATGAACTATTTTTTTGGACATCCCATTTGTGAGACTCAAAATGCATACTACAAAACTACATGAACTATTTTTTTGGACATCCCATTAGTGAGACTCAGAGCAGAACAGTGTTGATTGCAAGAAAAGTGAGTAATATAAATCCTTGTTTTTTTTTTAAATATATTTTTCATTTATTGTTATACATTTTTAATGAAAATAACTAAAATGTAAAAATTATAAACATCTCAGCTCAGTCAGTGAAATAAAATAGCTGAAATTTCACAAGCTCCAGAAGTTCTGCATGCTGTTTCATCATACTTTCATTTCCTGTTTGCCTGAAACAGCTAATGGCTGCTGCTGTGACTTATTGTTTTGTGGATTATTGCTGCAGTGAACACAAAGTACAACAATAAAACCATAAAAGATATGAATAGGTTAATATTTAAAGGCATCATGGCATGTAATTTGTAACTTTCTGATTAATAGTGCAGTCAGTGCAGAGGAAAAAATGCTATTATTCATGTTAGTTCATATTTTCAACTATTATTGATTTTCTCCACATACTCAAGAATCAAGTATGTTGTGTTAGGATGGAGAAAATAAAGAGATAAAATAAAAAAATTTATCACAAAAAAAAACAGTTGACATTCATTTAGGTGGTTCAAGAGGTTATGCAGATGAAATAAAGAAACTGTAAGAAGAAAAGAAGCATTTTCATTCTCAACATGAAAATCAACTTTGAGTTATATTTCACTCACACTGACTCAGTGAAGGCTTCAGAAATTCAGAGAAAAATCTTTAGTAGAAATACTTTATCAAAAAATTAATTTTATTTTATCAACAGACTTCTAATGCTTACTAAAAGCTTGTCAAATTGTGTGAAGATACAATTTCTGAGTTCAGAGACAGCTGTAAAGACTGAGCTATTCATAAGAATTTAATATGTATACATAAGAAATATTCAATAAGAACAAACTGACCAACAGCTTTTTTGTTTTACTCCTCAAATAACCAATTTATTTTATATCATTCACTACTACTGATGGGGATCATGTTGTAGCATACTCAGTAATTTTGTGTTTTTCTCTGTTCAAACACTGTGTACAGAATTGACAAAGAAAAATCACTTATTTTCTATGAAATACACAGCATGGTCACAAGTAAATAGACACCTAATTTTTCGTCATTTAACTGATTT